AAAAAAAAAATCTATGCAGCTTCAAAGCCCGGCAAGAAAAGGTATTATCTTGGAAAATCAAGATTATTAATCAAAACTACTAACTACTCTGACCCAATTTTTTTTAGAAACTAATCTGCTCCAGTGATTAGGGATAAGAAATATTAAACATGTGGTATTCAGCAGCTACACATAATTTCATCAAGCTTGTTTTTAGATAAGTGTCCTCTTGCTTACCCAGAAAAAAAAAAAAAAAGATAAAGTGTCACCTTTATTGGACCAGGGTACGTAATCTGGTCAATGATTCAATAGTTTTGGACTCAAAATAATTAAGTTGACCTTTTGTCATTGGGTCACGTATGGGTCTCTTATTTGTAATTTTGTATTGAATAGGTCCTATGTATCTGCACTATTATCCGAAAGAAAAATGTACSCGCACTAAAGTTTGCTGCCATAGGTTGGTTCTGGACCGGGTATCCATTAACCCAAACCCAATTAAGGGATTGCTAATTATTTAATATTAATTTGAATAGCATAAAAGTATTGTGAGGGCATCTGATTATATGAAATGTTGTTTTGAAATCTAATATTGAAACATGAGAAATGATACTTTGACCATTTACTCTTACGGATGAGAATGTTTGTTTAACTATTTAATAAATTAATTAAAAATCTTAAAATGATTAAAAATTAAAAATTAAAAATTAAAAAAAAAACTTAATAAAACGAAAAATGTTATAGAACCACTTAATAAAATAAACTTGAATTAAAAAACCATCACCAAATCACTATTTCAAAGGCAACTCTTCAGAACGGGTGCATTATTTCCTTTCCAAGCATGTGGAGCTGCTATCTTAGCATGCCTTATATCCTTTTCTCCTCTCCTTTTTATTAGGAAACAAATAAAAGTCATATAGTGACCACCCATTTTTTAGGAAAGAAATAACAGTACTTTGTAAAACCAATCCTTACTCCAATTTGTTCCTCCACTATCCCYTACTTTCTCTAAAGTTATCTCTAATTCCTATTTATCTTCTCCMCAACTTTTCATCTATATTTATCTAAARAAAGTTTGAATTACAAAAATTTAATAATTATTAAAATATTATAATGAAATTATGTAATAACTTTAAAATATTTATTAAAAACAYAAAAAAWWAWTWWAATAGATTTAATAATAWTTTTATAATTAATAATTTTATATTTTTGTGAAATTCAAAATGAAATTATGTAATAACAATATAAAATTATAATTATGGATTATTCAATTTAATAACTAAATAATATTT